CTTAACCAATGATCCCTATTTGTTACATGTGGCGATCTCACCTTTCGGGGGGGAAAAAACCTGCTTTTCTTTAATAATATAAACTAAAGTGACGTCTGTACAATTCAAGCTTAAGGTTTAATGCCGGCCTGTGCTGTTTTATTCATGGCACGTAGTGGCTGTGCTGTGAAGAGGATGTTTTCAAATAAGACGAATGGAATTAATGGTTAGAGGACATGATCATGCTTTATTTTTAAACCAACAACTTATACCAACCAGTCCGTTTAATTGTGGATGGATTTGTGCAATTCCTCTACATTAACATAGGTTTAATGTTCTGCCTAAAGGTGCCCATACACTGAGGGATTGTTTGAGACCCCTGCTTATAACCATTAACATGTAAGCTGACCAGCACCCCCGTAATTTAAGTGAGGGTAAATCCTAAATTATTATAAATTATGAGTTGCCACCAGAACAGGACTAGAGTGGTAATCTTCCAATGGGGGATTTCTCGCACAGTGGAATTATATTTTCTCACTTCTTGTTGAGTCTGCAGAGCAAGAAGCAAAGTGAAATCTCTCTAATAAGATACAGATGGCAAAAGAAAACTTGAACCCTCTCCTTCTATATCCAAAATGAAAAAAGAAAGTTTGGGCTTTGGATATACTTTAACCTAATGCTAAAAAATGGCCCGTAAAACAGAACTCCAGGTAAAAATGAGTAAGGTAAAAATGAATAGCTAAGTAAAAGAAAAGAAAACAAAAATGCTTTTACTTCAATATTCACCTTCAGTTCAGAGATTTTTTTTGTATGGGCACCTTTAGAAGTAGCTAATCATCAAAGGGTCTGTTCTTGTTAATGTCATTATCAGAACAGAACTACACATTAGCACAGTGGAGACAAATGCAGTGTTATAATTTGACCACTGGTGGGCACTCTTAGTATTTGTGAAATAAGTCTGACCAAGCAGAGCGATATGCAGCTCAAAAAAAGGTGATTGTCCTGAGATCTTTGGAAGCAGTTGTTATTGCACAAAGAAATATTCCAACATTTCCTCCTCCTCAGACCACAACCTTCTCAGTTTCACCCTCACCCTATCACCAACCCTGAATCCCCCTACAGGGCACACTGTCACCCAGAGTAATCTTCACCACCTCGACCCTTCTCTTCTCTACTCTGCTACTGACTACCTCTATGACAAAATCTCACCCCTATCCTGCCCTGACCTGGCTATTTCTGCCTACAACTGTTCACTTTCGTCCTCTCTAGACACCTTGGCTCCCCTCACTACTCGCAGACTTAGACCACGTCCGCTACAACCGTGGCAAGCAGATGAAACCAAAAATCTCAAGAGACATAGCCGCACTATAGATCTCTGCAAGACTTCACCCTGTACAAAGCTGCCCTCCTAAAATATAATTCCTTCCTCCGTGCTGCCAAACAGACTTATTTTGTCACTCTTATTAACACACTCTCATCCACACCTCGCCAACTCTTTTCTACTTTTAACTCTCTACTTCGTCCTCCACCGCCACCCACTAACTCACTCACTGCCCAGGACATTGCCATTCACTTCAAAAACAAAATAGATACAATTCGGGATCAGATCGCCACTGTACACTCACCTTCCCCTTTTCATGTGCCAGACCCTCCATCACACTTGTTACTCTCCTCTTTTGACCCCAGAGGAGGTTACAAAGCTTCTCTCTGACACCCACTTGCCCCCTGGACCCTGTTCCCTCACCGCTACTTCGGTCACCCTCATACTCTATCCTATACTCTCTTACTCACATTTTCAATCTCTCACTCTCTACTGGAATCTTTCCCTCCCCTCTGAAGCATGCCCTGGTCACCCCAATACCCAAAAAACCCTCAATGGACCCTACCGACCTCAATAATCTCAGACCAATCTCCTTACTACCATTCACCTCCAAACTCCTAGAACGCCTCATCTACAGCCGCCTAAGTCGCCACCTCGCTGATCACTCCACTGAAACCGCCCTCCTTAAACTCACTAATGACCTACTCACTGCTAAAAGCCAAGGCCACTATTCCCTACTCTTGCTATTAGATCTTTCTGCTGCTTTTGACACTGTTGACCACCTGCTCCTCCTCAAAAAACTCCAGTCACTTGGGCTACAAGACTCTGCTCTCTCGTGGTTCTCCTCCTACCTATCTAAGCGCTCCTTTAGTGTCGACTACTAACTCCTCCCCTCCTTTTCCTCTTTCTGTCCTTGCACCGCTTCTCTTCTCTATCTACACCTCCTCCCTTGGCCAGTTAATAACCTCACATGGCTTCCAATACCATCTCTATGCCGATGACACTCAAATCTATCTTTCTACTCCACAACTCACCCACGACATATCCGTCTGGATGGCACAACACTCATGTATCACTTCCCCCTCCCTTTTAGATTGTAAGCCCTCCTTACCCCCCTGTCTTGAATTGTATTGTGATTGTAATGTCTGCCCTATATTGTAAAGCGCTGCGTAAACTGTTGGCGCTATATACATCCTGTATAATAACATGTAGGAACATTTCTATGAAAATGACAGCGATTAATCCTTTTATATCCGAGAAAAAGGAGCAAAGCTTTTGCTGCATGTGTGCTGCGTCTGTTAGTCAAAGCAGAAACCCAGAATATACTAGTTGTTTGTGGATGTTCAGAAGTCTTTCCACTTGTCATTCTTGATGTGCCATTTGTTGATAGAAAGGGGAAGGTTTAGAACCTGTGTACTATTTGCTAGGTTTGCTCTCACTTTTTGTTTTGGTGACCTTCGACACTGTGACAGAAAGCTTGGGGAAATCTCAAATTTACAGTTGTAAAAGAGGAGGTAAGGGAAATTCTTCCAATGGGGACACCTGTCCCAGTGACAACTATCAACAGTGAGACTTCCTGGAAAGATTTTATTTTACTGTTAGTGAGCTTGTCCATTAATGAATCCCTCACCCCCCTGACTGCAGCCTGCCGTGTCACTTACTTAACTTCCTTCACTGTGCGGCCCTACCCAGCCATTATTCCGAAAACATTCCCACTGGGTCCTATGCCTAATGCGCACGCAAGCCTCTGCCCCATTCATTCCCTATGGATTAGTTGTTTCCAGCCATCCTGTGGAATGCTGCTCACCAATAGGAATGAATAGGGCTGCAGAGTGCATGCACAGTAAGCCAGTGGGGACATTTTTTTTCAAAGTTTGTGCAGCGCTGGGCAGGGCGTGCGGTGGAGATAGCTGGTACAGGGAGGAAGGTATGTACTGTATGCAACACAGCAGGCTGCACTCTGGGAGTTGGGGGGATTTATTTTACGACACCTTTACATTTACTTGTGATTTTTAAAGCACATCTAAAACCAAAAGGAATATTTTGCAGCTTATTCCTTAGTTGTGGTCACTGCATTCGTTTTTCTTTTCTCAGGCTTTTTTTTTTTTTCTTTATTCTTACCTGGAGGTCCTGCCAGTAACACACTTCCTCTCCTAGGGTGGCAACACTCACTTACAGTACTGTATCTATGGAGGAGCAGCATTGCCATTCTAGGCTGTTCTCTGATATTGACTGCAAACACCTCCCCTTCTCCTCATCTCTATTACGTAGGTAGAAGTTTGTAGTTCAGACAAGAGAACTGGGAATTCTGGTAACATTGTTTGAGATATCAGTTTATTGCAAAAGAAGGTAACAATAACTCTGAGGAGATGAACAGGTATTTTTCTGTACTTAGCCTGAAAAAAGAAAACTAATACAGCCACCATATCCAAGGACAAGTGAGCTGCAATATATGATATTGTTGTGTTTGGGTTTAGGTGTCCTTTAACTCTGCTATCTGTACTGTTGGAGTGTGTTGTAATTGAAGGAAAGAACCAAGTATACATCGTGTTCCTTTTCTCTCTTTATACATATCAGCTTGCTGCTTTGCATCTGGACATTGCTGGAGACTTAGAGAGTACTTACCGAAATTGATCTGCTGTATCTCTTTCCTCCTGCACACTATTTACACAAATGCTGCTTCTCAATGGACGGGTTAAAGGTTTGCCTGGTTTACTTGGGCTCTGGGATATAGTTTTTTCCTTTTTCCAGGGAAGGCAGTCCTTATTAGGACGTGTTGTTTTCTTATTCACGTCCAAGTTCTTTTATACCAATCTGACAGCGTCTTATTGTATTGGTTTTGCTGATGGATTTTTACTTGTCTGCCTGCACTTGGTAACACACAAAACATTTACTACATTTTTTAATGGAAAGTTTAGTTCCTTACTAATTAATGAATACATAAGAATGCCATCTGTTGCAGAGACTTTACTACCTTTGCTGCAGTGTTCTGTGTCTGTGTTGTGTGGGTGTCTCGCTTCTTCTTTATCACACAGTATGGCAGACATAAGCTGCTGGTGTGCTATCCCTTACCATCTTGTGGCTGTGGGGAGTCTCATGAAAGAAAATTACTTGTGATGTGCCCAAGAGAGGTGCCAACTGAAATCTGAGGCAGTGAACTGGAAAGGATGTTCCTGCGTGTTCCCCCAAAGGGCCCGGGCTAATAGTTGTCAGGGGCTCGCAGCAGCAGACGCGCTCTGCATGAAGAGCTCAGCTATTTTTAATTGTCTCTACAACTTTCCCCTTTTCTTGTCCTGTGTTTGTCCTTTACGTGAACTGTTCATGTTTTATCGCAGTCCAATCAGTGCAGTACTCTTTAAGTGCCCACAGCCCATTGCTCTCTGTTTCATGGGCCATTTGAAGTGGAATGGTAGCGAATGTTTTCAGCCTGAGAAACTGAATTTCTACAAAGTACACTGGCAAGAGCCTCTCGCAGCTGAAGCCCCTGGATCTCATTGTGTTGTTACCACTTGACCTGAAACTGCTGCCCTCTGTTTTATTGTCATGTCCAAATCAGCCACTAGCATGACTAAAAATATGGATGTCTGTCCCAGCTAACGCCAGAGAATGCCTGGCTGATATTTGCTTGGTAAGGTCTCAATCATTATGTGAAATGTTTTATTCTTGTCTTTCTAAGCCTTAATTGTTCTTTGTTTTGCAGCTGCGATGGAAATGAATGAAAGTTCTCGCTGGACAGAAGAGGAAATGGAAACGGCAAAAAAAGGTGGGTAGGATTCTGGTGGTGTTATGAGTGGGCTGCTATTTGCTGTCACATACAATCAGTCCTTACCGCCTCTCCCCTCCCCCTCCTTCATGCTATTTGTAGCATCCATGTGAGATACAGAATGATTCAGAAATACAAGGCCTTCTATGATAATTGATGTCTGCTGTTACATGGAAGAGCTTTTTACATTTAAAGGGAAATACAGTGTACTTTAACATAGAGTGTTTGCATAGTTTGGGAAGCATTATTAAAGCAAATTAGTGACGCATATGAGGCTGCATTTAGCAAAGTATATGCAATGGATTTTCTGTGTATTTGCGAGGGCTATGTTCTAGGCAGCAATGTGAAACTGATTTGCCAGTGTCAGATTTAGCAATGAATGTTAGACAGATTTTCAGATCTCCAAATAGACGCACATTTAAGATGTGGTCAGAGCAGGTTTTATTGTGTTGCAGTCTTACTTTACACCTGCAGAGGGAGCAATTTATGAAGAAAGATGCAGTCTTAGGCCTCATTTACACAGTGCCTTCCAACGTGCCAGCGGCAGGAATCCAAATGGCAGGTGTCCCTCTTTAGATGAGGCCGCTGTACCTGTTCAAGTTAATAACTGGGTGACAGCAGCTGCATCTGTAAGTGGCAGTCCGCATGTAATGTTTGGAATAGATGACTGTCACTGGACACAGGATAGATGCATCCAGGGACAGGGATCAGTTCCAAACCGCATTTAATATTATATGCGATTACATGCGGACTGCCACTCGAAGATGCAGTCAACCTGTCAGTAACTTGAACAGGTACAGCGGCCACATCTAAATGGGGACACCTGACATTCCTGCCACAAGAATGCCAGAACACACAATTTGAATGAGGCCTAATAATCTGTCTCATAATTGGTCTTGCTGCTTCTGTTTAGCATTGATTTGCTGTGCAAGAATTGATAAATGTTCCCCTTTGAGTTATTATTGCTTAGTTAATATTATCTTTAAATAGATTTTTATGTGACTTTCACATTTTTAAAGATTTTTTACATATTTGTATTGTACTACATAGAAAACGTGAAGATTAACCACTAAAGGGGGCTGTTTTTTGTCTCTCTGCTCAACAACTATTGAGAGAAGATATCAGCCACATGGGGTGGGCATTATTTTCAGTGAGTCAGTAGACCTGCAGACTTGCATTGTGAGCGAGCAGTAAAGCATACCTATCGCGCAGTACCTCTCGTATAAACATAATGAAAGTATCACTCTCTTGTGGCTGGATTCCCCAGTTTTTTGTGGAGAGTTTAGCAGGCAGTGTGTATCAGTTGGAAATTACTCACTACTAATTACTCAACACTGAAAATTAGGCATTGCTTTGAATGATGTTGGCCTTTAAAGTGTAAACCGACCTTTCAGTTAAATTTACAACATGTAAACAAAAAAAATCGTTCAGAATCGTATTTATTGCTTTTGATGATTTTTGACTGTTGGATTATCCACTGTGACCAATAAGAAATGTACACGCATTGTCGCTGCCTGCTCATAACTGTTGTCATACAATCTGTACACAATCACATGTCTTAGTAATACCTGTCCCAAATGACCTTCCTCAGAGAATGATTTTCCAGCTTGCTGGAAATCCATGTAGCCTGACACTTCAGCCAGCTACAGATGGTCGTTTTGTTTCATTTAAAGCTTTGATTATCAATCGTGTTTGTTGAGTTGTCGAATCGTATGAAAAAAATCAGGCATTGTATGGTTATCCTAAGTGAAGTTTTGTATCTTTGTGGTGGAGTAGTTTTGTTCAGGTAATGCAATATGATTGTAGGCTTGTACCATCTATTCAAAGCTAATGGCTTTTTCCACATAAAGAGTATCATTTAGAGTTCAAGGCTGGACTGTGATTTTTGAATGCAGTTCAATGGAATACAAAGCTTTGCGGTGCCAGTATGAAGGTTTCTTTATGTGTAAGATGCAGGTTTTACAAAGATATCTTTGGTGGTGTTTGGAACAGGAAGTAATTAATTGGATCTTTAAATATATATAGCACTTGTATCTCCTCCGTTTCACATTCAGGAAATCCAATACCAACCTTTATATTCTAAGTGGTTTTACCGGTGAAAATAATGTTCCTCTCATAAAGTAGACATACTGAAGGGAATTTATCAAAACTGGAGCAGACAAAGTCTGGAGCAGCTGTGCACGGCAACCAATCAGCCTCTCTCTTTCATTTTCAAATCTTAACGGAAAAAAACTGAAGAGAGAAGCCGATTGGTTGTCATGCACAGCTGCTCCAGATTTTGTCTGCTGCAGTTTTGATCAATTCCCATAACTGTATATAGGCTTCAGTTATTCCCTTGTTCTAAAGCGGTACCAGTGTGACCACCTTGTAAGGGATGATAGGACTGTTGTACAGAATCCTGAAGAACTCTGAAAGTATTGGCAGTCAATCAGATTTTTCTGGCCAGTTTTATTTTAACCTACACTAGAATTGGATTATATTCAGACTAGGGATGCACCGATACCAGTTTTTCAATATATCGAATACGAGTACCGGAAAGTCCCATTAAGGAAGCCGGGCAGCATGTAATGACTCGCCACCCAGCTTCCTGATTAGCCAGGAAGCTGGGTGGTGTGAGATGACTCGCCGCCCGGCTTCCAGAATAGCAGAGAAGCCGGCTCTATGCTTCCCAGTCCCCAGGTGATGAGGAGCCAGCTTCCCAGCCAATCAATGTAATGACTCGCCGCCTGACTTCCTGATACCGGAACTTACGGTATCGGGAGCAAATACTTGCATTCGGCAACGATATTGATACTAGTAACGGTGCATCCCTAATTCAGACAATATGCACTTTGAGTACTTAAACACCTGGATTGCCATCTTGTACAATAAACCATCTTTGCCTTGTTAATTATGTATATTTTTGGAGCAATATTTGTGTGAAGACTCCAAAAATTTGAGGGAAAGGAGGAGGAGGGGATCCCAGGGAAGGCTTTGTGTAGTTTAGTGATATCGCAGACTCCTATCTGATGTTATATACTGTATAAACAGGATGTCTTACTTACATAGTATTTAATTTATTACTGTAACCAAACCTGCCTGGGAAGCAGAATCTACATGGAGTCTAGAAGAAGGCGAGGACCTTAACCCCTTCGTGACTGACGACGTACAGTGTACGTCGCCAGCATCGGGGCTGTTTAAACAGACTCCCGGCGACTTTTGCCGCCGGGACTCTGTTTAAACTTGTAGAGCCGACTGTCGGCTTTACAACAGAAGCGATCCTGGCGACTTACATGTCGCCAGATCGCTTCTGCGTCCCGAAGAAGGGGCCATCCCCCCCCGCCGGACACCCCCGCCGTGCTTCCCGGGCTCCGTTGCCCCTCCTACGGGCCCGGGACCGGCGATCTTTGTGTCCGCGGGGAGCTGGGGAGGAGGTCGACGAACTTCCGTTCATCGATCCCCTCCCCGTTCTATGGGACCGGGAGCGATGCAGATTGCATCACTTCCGGTCCCTGGGCTGTCAGTTCTGGGCTCCTGCAGCCCAGCTATAAGCTATTGAAGTGCGATCTGCACTTCAATAGCTTATTTCCAGTGTAAAGGTGACACTGAGGGTCTTTTGGACCCCCAGCATCACCTTAAAGAGGACCTGTCACCACCATCTGCTATTACATGGGGGGGCTTGCAAGCCCCCCCATGTGATAGCAGTCAAAGTAAAGTAAAAAAAAACAGTTTTTAAAATTAAATTTAAATAAAATAAATCTAATAATAATAAAAAAAAATTTTTAAAAGTACCCCGCCCCCGCGAGCACGCGCGTCGCCACGTAAACACGCGTCGGGTGCGCCTACGCATGAAAACGACGAACGCGCTACACATGTTGGGTATCGCCGCGCACGCCGGAGTGAGAGCAATAATTCTAGGGCCAGAATTTTGGGGTATCTCTAAATTGATGACCTGTGGGGGCTTTTAAAGTGTCTTTTATTGATTTTTTGGGGTACTGCAGTTTTTCGCCGTTTCACGGTCGCACACAATCTGTAAACTGGGCATGTTGGGTATCGTTTTACTCGTTGTAACCTCATCTTTTATATTTCATTAAAAAAATGGGTAATTTGTTGTGTTTTGGGGCATTTAATTAAATTTGTCACTAAATTTTGGGGTTTAATAAGGAGTTGCGCTAATATTGCGCAACATAAAAATTTTCAACTACCACCATTTTATTCTATAGGGTCTTGGCATTCAGAAAATATATAATGTTGGGGGGTTTTACGTCATTTTCAGGCCTAAAATGTGGAATATAACATGGGTGCAAAAATGGAAAAAAGGGCCTCAGTCATGAAGGGGTTAACAAGCATAGACTTTAGGAAGCAAACCCACCCACAACAAATGTGATGCGCTAATTGAAATCTAGCTGCAGGGAATTAGACAGAATTCAGATTAAATTGTATGTCCAGACAAACTGTTTTTCTTTTTGGCTAGCTTAGGGAGGGTTTAGACCCGCTCTAGAGTTTTCATGCTGGCCATACACACTTTAATGCAGAGTCCTGCTTAACCACCTGCTGTCCGGGGCATTTTCACATGATAAAATATAAATTTTTGGCTAGAAAACAGCTTCAGACCCCCAATTATATTCTAAAAGCAGAGGCCCTGTAGAATGAAAAAATGCAATTTTTTATGACGCACGGTTTTTGCGCAAATGTTTATCAAACCAGTATTTTTAGGAAAAAATAAACTAAATTAAAATTTAGTGCACAGAAGCATAATATAATACCCAATTTTTTAGTAAAATATGAAAGACGGGGTCACGCCGAGTAAATAGATACCAAACATGTCAAGCCTTAAAATTGCGTTCGCCCGTGAAGCCGCAAAAAAAGTCAATACCCAAAATTTCCCATAGGGAACATTTTTAAACGCTTTTACCGTTCATCAGTTTAGTGCTAACAGTGATTGATGGCCCTAGAATTATTGCTCTCACTCCGACGTTCGTGGCAATATGTAACGTGTAGAGCAATTGTCGTTTTTACAT